GGACCAGACCCACCGAAGGAGCTTTAGGCCCGCCGAGCCAAAGATAGGATGCCAGTGGAGCTCCTGAGAGAGCAGCCGTGGACGGGACCTCCCTCCAACTCCGCACCATTCCCCGAAGAATAGGCCACACCTCCTCTGTGCTTCCTGGCACTTTTTAAACATTTTCATTATTGACCATCACGACAGTGTATCACAGTAATTTATTTATATGTCTGTCTCCCCTAGCATTTCTCCTCAAAGACAAGAACCATGTCTTACCCATTCCCTGGGTAAGTGCCTAGCATGGTGGCTGATGCTTGGAAGGGTGCCATTAAATGTTTGACAAAAGAACAAGTGAGCATCCAAGGTGGCAGAGAGCAGCCTGGAAACAGCTGACATTTTGCATACTTCCCAATACCAGCACCATCACCACCACCATCTCAATGAGAAAAATAACATCTTTACTATCCTCTAATATTTTTCAGTCTTACTGAGAGAGCAGAAATGAGGCCCGACTAGCAACACCATTTCCCAGCTCAAGGACTAAGCTTTACGCAAGCACTCCTTTCAGAAGATCCACCTAGATCAGGCCCCACTTTAAAATAGCGTGTTGATTTAAGGGGGGGGGGGGGGGCATTCTTTACAGTGGCTAGAAAACCCCTGTGAGAAGCCCAAGCCAGGGTTGACCGAGGATGTGCCATTAAAGGTAAAGAGGTGCAGACCAAGGCAGATGGACTTTGGGGGCATGGATGGATGTTTGCCCTGCCCCTTCCAGGGGGATCGGACCCCCTGAAGGAGCTTTAGGCCCTCAGAGCCAAAGACAGGATGCAAATGGAGCTCCCGAGAGAGTGGCTGTGGGACAGGACTCTAGGCTGGCAATGCCTAGTCTCAGTCTCCCTTAAAGAAGGACCAGGCTGAGCTGGCCCATTGTCTTGGCCACAGGGTCCCCACCCTTGTTTCCAGTTGAGACAAAGGCCAGGAGAGGAGGTGCAGTGAGCTCCTGAACCTCCAGCTGCTCCACAGAAAGGCCTGCAAGAGGATTCCAGACCAGGCCCTCACCCACACTACTCTGTGAGTAAGGGAGGTTGAGGAAAAGAAACAGCATAAGAGTAACCACATTTCCAAGGGCATTCCTGAAAAAGTACTTATCCGTATTTCTTTCTGAAAAGGAAAGATGGATCTGAAGTAGTTGCCACTGTTTCCAAAGCAGGAGGGAAATGGAGAGGAAGGCCCTATGCTTCCAACGGCGATAATGATCTGAAATCAAAGTTCCCCTCAAAATGCCTCTGAAGTCTCACATTTCTGCTTAACCCTAGGACTCTGGGTGCCTACCCTCAGTTGCAGAGTGATGTGTTGTTTGTGTCATTGTTGATGTCACCTCCTAACAGGACCTTCACTTCCCGGCTGCCACAGAGCCCATATGTATTGCTCCCCATGTACAGCCTGGCAAAGTGAATGGAGAGGGAGATGCTGGATTTGTGTATCACTGGCTGTCAGTTCCTAATGTTAAACATCACACAGGTGTGCTAGCATTGAATTATAGAGTGTCACATACCTGAGTTTGAAAATAAAAGCACATTTCCAAACCTTCAGCAGCAGCCAAATGCCTCCTCATTTTATGGAGCTGAGCCACAGTCTCGCCCCATCCCTGAATTCGATCCCTTTGGATATTAGTGCCTCCCAGAAGCAACCAGAAGTCCCCAGCTCTTGGGTCATTGTACTATGGGCTACCTCCCAGGGGCTGAAACAATTCCTCTCCTTCTCCCCTTCCCCATTCCTGATCCTGGTTTCCTGTACTTTCCTGGCCTGTGACTTTTTAAGTTAATACATTCTGCTGGGCTAGAGACTGCTGAGTTTCTCCCAACCTGATTTCTATAGACAGACTACATTTTTCAGCCTTTCTTACAGCTAGTTGCAGAGGAATGTAGACCTTCCAGATCTAGTTTCCTAAAAACAGACTTCCCTGCCCAATACTTCACACCTTTTTTATTCTCCTCTCCACTTACCAAATTCAGAGGATTCGTCTGAGGACCTGAGGCCTGAGAAGGTGGCAGAACCACTAGGAGGAAGCTGGGTCTTTGAATGGGCCCTCATGGCATTCAATTGTGCCTAGAGCAAGAAGTAAAATGTTAGTATATTAAGCCACTGAAATTTAGGAATATTTGTTATAGCACTTAGTCTACCCTGACTAATGCATACATTTGAACCAGAAATGGGTTGCTTCAATATCAGATTTTCCAAATATGATGCACCGGCTTAGCAGTCAAGTGTCATGAAACAGGAAAATTGATCCCAGGGGCTAGAAACATGGTGACCCATGTTGTGAATACAACAAAAATATTTGTTATAGTCTTATCCATGCTAACTTGAGAGGCAGCCCATGGGCAGCCCATAGCTCTAGGAGAAGTGGCTGGAAAGAATCAGGGTGTTGGGGTATGTGAACCTTTATTGGCTGCCTTTGGCAAGGTATTGCAAGAAAAAGAAACACTCAGGAAAGGATTGGCTATTTGGAAGCAGAAGGGAAAAATAATATAGAGTGTTCAGATTGAAGGAATTAAGGGTTAGAAAACCTGACTGCATCTAAACCCCAAACAGTAAGACTGAAAAGAGCTTGGAGTGGAAAAGAGCCAATAACATTTCTCAGTTGAACGCAGATCAACTCAGCCTATGGCAAAGACAAGATTAAGGATACGGCCCTTCGAACTGTGGTTTCAAGTGAACTCAGTGTAGCCACCATTAAATTAGGGAAAGAGAGATGCATGGGGATGAGAAAACAAAAATATCTTGAGAATTACGACTGGGAAAGGAGTTTTGGTATGATTACTGGCTCATGGAATCAAATGGAAGCAAACATCAGAAATCTAAGTTTGGGGGCCGGCCCCTTGGCCGAGTGATTGGGTTCTCATGCTCTGCTGTAGGCGGCCCAGTGTTTCATTGGTTTGAATCCTGGGTGCAGACATGGCACCGCTCATTGAGCCATGCTGAGGTGGCGTCCCACATGCCACAACTAGAAGGACCCGCAACTAAGAATATACAACTATGTACTGGGGGGTTTGGGGGAGAAAAAGGAAAAAAATAAAATCTTTAAAAAAAAAAAGAAATCTAAGTTTGTGGGGGAATTGTATTTACAAAGAAACACAGCCAGAACTAAGAACTCCTTTATTGTTCAAGTTGGAAAACAACTTTTGGGATCCTAAGCTTACATTAGCAGTAAGCTGTGCTACCTCAAGGAGGGCATACTCCCTAACTCCCACTTCAAGTGTGGCCAAAGTGTTTGTACAATGAAGGGCTACAGAGAACAGTGGACACAAGACATGGGAGTTTCTCCCAGAAAGCAGAATCAAGATCTAATCAAAGGTAGGTAATTGAAGTAGGCACAATTTCTAAAACGTCCCCCCAAAGATGTCCCGCCCCAATCTCCAGAGCCTTTGAATAGGACATATCACTCCTGTTCTGTCATATGGTACAGCTGACCACAAAAAAGGGAGATTATCCAGGTGGGTCCAGTGTAATCAAATGAGCACTTAGAAGCAGAGAGCTTTGTCTGGCTAATGGTAGAAGTGGGAGTCAGAGAGATCAGAGGTGCGAGAAGGACTCACAGGGGCGCTGCTGCTTTGGAAATGGAGTGGGCTGCATGGGAAGAAACACAGGCTGCCTCTAAGAACAGAGAATGGACCCCAGTTGACAGCCAGCAAGGAAACGGGGACCTCACTCCTACAACATCAAGGAAACGAATTCTGCCAACAACCTGACGAGCATGGAAGTGGATTCTTCCCCAAGAGCCTCCAGGTGAGAGCCTAGCCCAGCTGGCACTTTGCTTTCAGTCTTGTGAGACCCAGAGCAGAGGACCCAGTTGAGCCCACCCAGAGTTCTGACCTTCAGAACTGTGATAATAAATGCATGTCATTTAAGTTGCTACATCTGCTGTAATTTTTCACGCAGCAGTAGAAAACTGATAGAGTGGCCTTCATAATGTCTCCTCATTGGTATTGCGGAACTGCTAAGGCACGTGCCTGCTGTGTCTCCCATTCCTCTCCTTTATAGGTTATCCAGATCCTGCTTCACCGTTGCATTTTGGGGGCAGCATATAACTTTCTTAGTTCATGGGTTACCAGACCACAAAGCGCCACAGCTGGACCTGATAGGGAAGACTGAGCATAACGCAGCAGTAATGGACTTTGAGCTGGATGGGACTTTGGATTGTCTCTCATGAGAACAGAGTGACTATATTCTATGTGTGGGAGGAACATTGAGCCCCATATTAGGTGATCAGAAGGGTAAACTGTGGCAGAGACAGCTGTGTGTTGACCAAATCATTTTTCTTTTTTACTCCTAGGCACACAGGTAGATTACATTTCCCAGACTCCTTTGCAGTTAGATGGATCACATGACAAAGTCTGACCAATGGGATATGAGTGGAAGTGAAATAGCCACGTCCCAGGTCTGGCCCCTAAAGCAATCTCTGGCACAATCCTCCACACTTTCTTCCCTTGGTTGCTGGCTCCATGTAGATCTTGGGGAGGGCTCTGAGGTACCAGGTGGTGGCAGACCAGAACAGTCTCTGAGTAATTGTCTATGGTAAAATATCCACCCCCCACACACACCTACCACTACCACCATTCTCAGCCACTGGATTATAACATGAAAGAAATAACAAAATAAAAAGTATTTTATTTTGTTAAGGGATTGAGATTGGGGGTTATTTGTTATGGCAGTTAGACAACACTGACTAATATAGTTGCCTATCTACGTATTCTAGAAAGCAACTAATCTCAGTACCATAGAATTGCATTGTTATGATACTTTTACATTCACACAATTCACCTCCCTTATTTGACACATGACAAAACTGAGGCCCAGAGAAGTTAAGTAACTTGCTCAAGGTCACACAGCTAATTAGTATTAGAATTTAAACTAAAATTTAGATATTACCCTCAGTCCAAGACTCTGGGTTGTACCATATTTCCTTCTTTTATGCCACATTTAAAAATATCTACCCTATTTAAATTTTTATTTGCATATATCAGATTAAATATCATTTTGACTCATGTATTCCTTATCCAGGGAACAAGAAAACTGGCCTGGATAGTCCATGTTTCCTGCTCTCCTCTAAAACTTGTTGTTCTCTTCATTTTCATTTAACTTTTGAAATTTCCCTTCTAATTCTACAACTTTTTTCTTCCATTGTAGGTTCCCCTTGATTACAGCTTGAGCTGTTACTTTAGAAGTGGACGGTGCTGCCAGTTCTTTTTCCGTATCCTGAACACTTTTCTCAAAACAGCGAGGAGAGATTACCTGGCAATATTTTCTTTATCGCTCTCCACTTTAGCCTTTAGCACCAAATTCTCCAGAAACTTATCTAGAGGGAGAGGCCTAGAAGCTAAGACTGAGTACATTCACGCTTAACAAGAGAGGCAGCAAGTTTCCATCAAGCATTTTCAATCACTTTCCAACAGTGGCTTAACCTCTCTCAATAGGGATATCCAAATATAAGATTGTTCCTCTTCTAGAAACTCACTTTTACAAGTGAGTCATACAAGTTCCCTTTATCTAATAATTCCCCTTCCAGGAAATAGTTTCCAAAATTTAGGTCAATCTTCTCATTTCTCAGAAGCTATTTCCACATCAAAAGCTTTGCCTTCCATAATTCATTTTTTCCCTTCCTGTCTTCCTTCCTTCTTTCTTCTTGTAACACTTGATCAAATGCGTGAAGCCTAGCTGTCTTTCAGGCGTGATGCTGGCTTTAAGGATAATGAGGAAGAGGACATGATTCCTGCCTTCCTGTCTACCTGGCTCCGTGGTGAAGGAGTCACATATGTTTCTGAGGTACCCATAGCCTGGAGCTTGTGCTCACCCAAGAAAGGAGATCTAAAGATAGTTAGATTTTGGAGCTATTTGAGGGCGAATCCCCTGTGTTTGTGTAGAGCAGACTCTCCTTTCGTTGTTGGTATTTTCTGCACAGATATCTAACTTATGACCAATATCATGTGTATAGAAGAGAACTAGTTAACCACAGACTATTCCTATAAATGACATTCATTTGGGAGAAAACTCATAAACCTTTGCTCAAGGCATTACTCTCAAGCCAGAATTCCATAATTACCTTGGGGAACAAACCACTGAAAATCCAGCTGGGAAAATAGACAGTGCAGTCAGCTCCAACACAGTACAGATAAAGCTCATATTCACCAAATGAGAAAGGGGAAGTCTAAATTGAAGTTTGGTCTACCAGAATATTAAAGAAGTTATTAAAGAGAGAGTTATTCTACAAAGAACCCCTCTGGCGATTCCTCTTGTAAAGTCAAAAACCCTTTTATAAAGTGTAAAATTACTAATTTTGTAAATTGTCCCCGAATTATGTTTTGTAAAAATGAATTTTATTATGTGTCTGGTTTCTTTGAAGAAAGAATCACCTGTAATGGTGTCAAAATTTCAAATGCATAAAAGAAGTCCCAAAGGGAGGCAAGAATACTCTGTCTTCGATATTTAAATAGGCATTTGCAGTCATGGGCCTCAGTATCATCCCCCCACAGACCCCAAGGATATGCAGCTGGAAAAAAAAAACATGGATTATGGGAGGAAAAAAAGCAATGGTCCGTGCCCAATCTCCTTTAGAGACAAAGACATTCCTGGGAGTATATAAATGAATGGGCTCCACAGGCAATAACAATGGACCGTGTGAGAACTGAGCTGGTGGGGGAGGTGGGCGGTGGGAAGATGAGAATTAGGGAAACCTTCAGCAGTTCACACTGTGCTATCTGCCTTCCTCATTTGTGTGTTTTCTGAGTCAGCATTAGCTAAATTTTCCAGAAAGCCATCCACAAAGTACAGCCTGGGCGTTCAAGGGATGTCACTCATTTCCCCCAGTGACCTTGACAAGTCAGAAGCTTGAAAGCAGGGAAATCCGGATGTCTCAGTTGTGAAGTGGAGCAGTGGGGGCCCCAACGTATTTCCAGAAGTCTCCATCCAGACTGGTGATTGTCTGCCACTCTTACTGCCGGTGGTCATCTGAGGTGCTTCTCTGGCTCTGAAGAGGTTGGCACAATGGCCAAGTGCTTCAGCCTGGTGTTGCTTCTTGTCGCCATCTGGACCACAAGGCTCCTGGTCCAAGGCTCTCTCCGAGTAGATGGTAAGTTTATTACTAGATTGCCAACCTGAGACAAGGTGAGACCCTACACAGTCCTAAGCCTGCTCAGTTCTCGACTGTGGAGGGCTAGGAGTAGGAGTGACCCTAATGTCAACAGAAGATCTGATTGATAGTATTGCTCTGCCAGAAATATTTTCACCCTATGGTCAACTTCACCGAAATGATTCACATTTACTTTCATGTTACCTTGCCTTTTATTTTTGGTTATGGAATATTTTTAATGAGAATGTTTTGAAATAGAGTATTGAGGAGAGAGCATGTGTTTTTAAAAGTGTTTCACTGAAAAAGCAAATCATGATCGTGTAAATTTTAAGCAATCTCTAAGCCTGAGAAAAATGGCTAACTTTCACAGAATATTGGCCTGTTTTATATTTTTGGAAGTGCCAGCTAATTATTTTAATTTCAATTTTACTCTAACTATCATGGAATGCATATGTTTTTAATATTCAGTAAATAACAAACTAACTGAAAAAAATCTGTGAAAATATAGGTTTGAAAATTAGTCATCAGCTCTCTACCAAAGGAATGACTTGAAATGACTTCTGGGCTTTTAAGATGCCTAAATGGTAACCTCATTCTGCCTTGTAGGCAAAAACTTGTAACCACACATCACTCATTACAGCTTTGGGCAAATAAAAATCTTAGCACTTTAAAAGAAAACTTACATGCTTCTCTGTGAAAGACGGCCTGAGATATAAAATATGTTGGGAACAGATATGCAGAGTTGACTCATATATTGATGTATTTAATTTTATAAAGAATGTTAGGGTTATGTGATGGACTTTTTTTCAAATACCAGAACTGTTGCTTTTGAGTAAGTTTGGTCCTCTTTGAAATCCTCCTGGGGAGACTGTTCACTTTTCCCCAAAATGCTGCCATTACTCAACTATTTTGGAAATTGTTCTTTGACTTCATCACACTCTTTGGACCATCCTCAATAATGGCAAAAGTTTCCTAAGGAAATTAAATTTTTGGAAACAACCGAAAGTTATTCAGAACCATGGGAAAAGGTGGCTGATGACGGTGAGTGGGTTAGATGGGAACTAGTATAACACATATATATATTTTTTAATTTTTATTGAGTTAATGATAGGTTACAATCTTGTGAAATTTCAGTTGTACATTATTGTTTGTCAGTCGTTATAACATATATATTATATACTAGTATTTATATATATTTTATATATTACATATATATTATTCTCAAGAAGACATTTTACAGTTGAAGAAACAGGCTCAGTGAGGCTAGGTGACTTGCCTAATGTCACACAGGCAGGATATAGTAAAGTTTGGGCTCGAATTCAGCTCTGTCTGATTCCTAAGCATACATTATGTCTACTATGCCTGCTGTTTGCTAAGAAATCTTAAGGAAGGGGTTACTGGAGCACCCCTTGGATTCCAGCTCCCTATTTTTGTCCTTAAATGAAATAGGAAAGCACAAAATTGACTAATATTTGTGGACTGCCTACTATGAACCCAGCTTCCACTAGGTACAAGTTACCTAATTTAATTCTGACAAAAATTCTGTGAAGAAAATATAACCATGCCCATTTTACACATGAGAATGCTGACTTGCCCAAGGTCCCACAGCCAATTAACAATAGAAGAAATACTCAAAGTGAGGTCTGTTGCCCGGAATAGGTCTGTCATTACTCATAATGTTTAGAGTAAAAATGAGGTATGAAGAGAGAGTATCAAGAGAACTTTATAGTGTAGTTAATAAACCTTCTCTACAGGTATTCCCAAAGGAACAGCCGTAGAGGTTTGAGCAATAGCAAGCTCATGGGCTAAATGAGCCAAATCCCAGGACAAATGGTGTGCCCTGAGGTTCAGCTCTAGTTTTGTGTGTGTGTGTGTGTGTGTTCATCTTCTCCCTGTAGCACAGTGGGAAACAGAACAGAGTTCTAGTTAAGAACTGGGGTTTCAGAGTCAGTCATGACTGGATACAGATAGCTCCCAATCTACCCCCTTGTTGCTCTAATCCTTAGGCTTAGGAAAGTTACTTAATCTCCCTGAGCCTCAGTTTTCTATTAAAGAGACAGGGGTTGGAACAGAATAACATCAATAGATGATAGATGTTGGAATTAATATTAGTGTTAGTATTAATATGAGTATTGGTATAAATGTTAGCGCATAACAGTCATAACGGGTGTTTTGTCACATTCATATCGGGTGTTGGTTCTCTGGTCTCCCTTTTGGTGAGAGCAGGGTGTGGAGGCAAACGAGGCCATTCACAAATACTGCACATAATATATATATATATCCCTTCTCCCAGCCTCCTGCTCCAGAGCACAGCAAGGTCATATGGAGGACTTAGATATACTCCTTCTGTGTTTGCAAGAAGAAACTTCCTTTAAATACCAAACTAGAAAGTGGCCAAAGCATTTGCCTGGGCATCCAATGCATAGATCTGTGTACAAGGAATTAATTGGGAAATTGAAATGTCTTTTTATGGACTTTTGTGGATGAAGCCCAATAGGAATAATGTACCTGAATGCAATGCAACTTTGCAATTTCTTATAGGTTTATAAATCCCAGATACCAGGGGAAGGGAACAAAAGAACTCTCAGATTCATTAGATTTTGAGTAAAATATTATTTACATTTTAACTATTCAACTGCCTCAGCTTCCCCAGGGAGATCAATCATTAGCAGACTAAAACCAAAATGCTTTGGTTATAATGATAAAATGTTATTTATGATTTATTGAGCATCTACTATATGGCAGGCACTATGCTAAGCATTTTTATTTGAATTAACTCATTTAACTCTCACTACCCTATACAATAGACATTGTTACTCCCTCAATTTTATAAATAAGGAAACTGAGGCCCAAAGAGATGAAATAACTAGCCTAAGTTCACAGAGCTAGCAAGTCACACAGGCTGGATTCAAATCCAGGTCTGATTCTAAAACTATTTCCTCTATTTAGTTTCTCTTCCATGCAAGATTTGCTGCCCGGCTCCTCCAGGAACTTCTGAGTAAGCCTGCCCCCCAATGGTCAGAGAAGACCCAGGACTGAGAAAGCTCACATCCTGTTATACCAAGTGCAACATTTTTCAGCCCATCTCAGAAATAGTGGTGTCCCCAGCCCACATTAGTTTGAGTATTACTAACCGGTTATTCTATTAACTGGAGCCCTGAATTCTATTTCTCAAAGCCTCAGACCCTTCATTTTATAGACTCCAAAAAAGTTCGGAGCAACTACATCACGTAGATCCCATCCTAGGAACTGGTAGCCGAAAGCCTCCATGTAATGAACAAGGCGATGGACTCGGATCTGCTGAGAGGTGCAACTTGGACCAGAGCGAGCACCCGCCTAACCCAGCAAGATGTCCTTGTGGGAAACGACTGGCCTGTGTCCTGTTACCTCTAAACTTCAGTTCAGGCCACAAGGACCTCATTGCTGTATCAAGACAATAATGCTCTGCTAGGGAGGAGAGCCTAGGGCTGGGAACAAGGACAGCAGCAAACTGAGGACCTCTGTGATTGTTTTGCAGAGCTTTCCATCTCAAGGCCATGCAGAATTGTGGGGGTCACCCTTGTGAACAGAAAGGCAAGGGAACAGCTGAATTTCACAGAAGCCCAGGAGGCCTGTAGGCTGCTGGGTCTAACTTTGGCCAGCAGAGACCAGATCGAAGCAGCCTGGAGGTCTGGCTTTGAGACTTGCAGGTGAGAAACAGCTGGATTCACAAACACTCCTGGAGCTCTTTTGTTTCTGTGTTCTTGTTCAGCAATAGAGATAAATGTGTCCACTCAACTAATGTGTATTCTGTTACAGTTATGCATGGGTTAAAGATAAGGTCTTGGTCATCCCTCGGATTGTCCCGAACCCCAGGTGTGGGAAGAACGGGATGGGCGTCCTGGTTTGGAGAAATTCTCTCAGTGTGAAGTTCAGTGCGTATTGTCACAACTCATCTGGTGAGTCAAATCTGCAGCCTCTCCACGCGGCATGTTTTCTCGGGGCTTGTCTAGCGCTATGACCTGTCTGAGGAGAGTAACGCTGAGCAGCAGCAGAAGCAATGGTGACGGTCATTTAATCCTCCCCAAACCGACTCTGTGACCAGGCTAGAGGTGGCAGTGTGCCGCTTAGAGAAAAAAGTTAGAGGAATATAGAGTGAGGGCATCCCAGGAGGCTCCCTCAGCTCCCCTCTCCATCCTACAAGATAAACAGGAAGACGGGGAGGAAACATCCACTGTGGACAGAGTGATGTCCTAAGTTATCTCACTGTACCTGAACGATCTCCCGACGAGGTGGGCTTTGTCATCCCCATTTTACAGATGAAAAAACTTAGCTCAGAGGACCTAAGTACATTTGTCTGAGGTCTCATTCCTATAACAATTCAAACACACATCGAACTCTGAAACTATGCTCTTTCTGTTACCTCACATTCTTTTACAGGAGGGGGATGTCGGATGCTGCATTTGACATTTTTAAGAACTAGAGCCAATCTCCATTTTATGAAGGAAGGAATTGAGGCTAGAAAGTAGACCTGATTTGCTCACGGTCACACAGTTCTCCTTTTAGCCTTGCTTGGAGACCTTGGCTGCCTTAGCCCAAGGGCGTTACCTAAATGACTTCTCAGAAAGTTTTTCTTTTACTAGATACGTGTTCTCAGTTTGTCATAAGAACCTCTATCTGATTTATTACTCTTCATACATACTCATAAATCTGACCTTCCAAAGCTTAGACAGCTGAGCAGTCATACACAAGGATAGATTCCAAAGTCATTCTCTAAGATTAGGAGATAAATGTGCACCAGCAACATTATGTTGCCCAAGCGCAACATGAAGTCCAAGCAGTTCTCTGAACCCGGGGGCTTTGGCCTAGGAAGGGTCCTGAAAGATGCTTTGTCCACTTCCCTCACTTCAAGATGAAACGACTATAGCTCAGAATGGAGGTTTGGCTTGTTCAAAGTCCTACAGATAGGGGCAGAGTCAAGACTGGAACACAAAGCTTCTTCCAACATTTTCTTCACCACCTTCCTTCTCTCCTCCGCCCCTTCCACCTATGACTTTTGGCTGGGGAACAGGTGCTTCACATGCCTGCTTATCTCATAGCTAGCCCAGCCTATCAAATGGCCTGGCCTTTTAACTGCCTGGCCTGCCTGCCAGCTGTCAGTGTGATGGTATGATACCCAGCCTCTGGACTAAACAAAAAGGAGCCAGGGGAAGAGGACTTGGATTCGTGCATTTCTTCATGGTTTCATTGAACTTGTACTTCCATCCCCTGTATTTCCTGTACACTTAAAGTCAAGTGAGGTTTGATTAGACTCATGTTCAATATTTTTGGCAAAAATACTTCATAGATGATATCACGTACTTTAGATCACATCCCAAGAAAAGGCACTTAATGTCGGTATGTACCTCTTTAACATGCTAACTTTGATCATTTGAGTAAGAAGGTGACTGCCAGACTTCTCTAGTGAACTCATAAAGATATGTTTTCCCCTTTGCAATGAGTATATAATCTATAGTGGCATATTTTGGCACCATTCAAATATTCTGACTCCCAACCAACTTTACCTAATAGCGTAAGCAGCCATTGATGATCCTTGCTGGAATCAACTATATGTGGGGCTGCAAAATGGTGATTTTCTAAATCTAGTCTTCCTTCTGCATGTATTAGCTGGCATTCTTTGATAAAGAAGAATCTCTCTCTCACGCACACACACACACACACACAAATATATATTTAAAAGTTATCAATTTGTATTGATATTTCCAACTCAAATTTAACAATTCAAGTTTTTTCTTAGTTTACCTTGTTTTTATACTTAGTTTACTTTGTTTTATACTATCTTTTTTCTCTTATATGGAAAATCTTAGTACCCAATAAATAATATTAATACAGCTTATTATCCTATGATAGTTTCAAAATTATAAAACCAATCCTATTAGGAATAATAAACCTACTGAGTGCAATTTAAGATTTCTTTGCATTTCCTCTAGTCCTCAGAAGATATCCCTCCAAGGATATACTGTCTGAGAATTGTAGGCAAAAGTGGCCTGCAGCAATTCACTCTTCTGTGTGGTTATACTATTATTTTGAAATGAATTAAGTTCGCCGGCCTCGGTTTGCCACCTCTGTGAGGATCAGGGTTACCCTCACCCTCGTCCTAACACTAATCCTAAACTTACCCTAGGTTTCTTTGTTTTCATAACTTCCTTTTTCATTGCTATCCTGTGAGGTCTGGGGATCAGAGTATGCTAACCCTGTCCCTCAACCTTATCCTAATTATCCTTCTTATTGCCATCTTCGTGAGCTTTGGGGATCAAACATGCTTTTAGTGCTCTGTGTGCACCACTTGTTTCCTACTGTTCCCTCTGCCGCGATGCCCATTCTCCTCACCACCTGGCTAACTCCTACTCCTTATTCAAATCTCAAGACCAACCTGTCCAGGAAGCCTCCCCATACCCCTTACTCCTACCTTTCCTCTTGAACTCCAACCACACTCTGTGTTCAATATCTATCAGAGCACTTGGTACAGTCTAGAGAAATTATATGTATAGTATATATTATATGTATGTATTATATGCATATATGTATACGTATATGGAGGGGAAGGAGAGCCAGGTCCTAACACTTCCAGGTGAGATGCATTGCACCCTCAACCAGTTAGGCATCATGGAACCAGATTGCTGTTGCTCCCTCATACTGTGGCCTCTCGGCTACACCTGATGAACAGAGAGGCAAAGGAAACTAGTTCTTATAGATCTCCTCTACTATGCCATATACTATGCTAGGCCCTACACATTTACATCTCATTAATCCTCAGTAAAATGACACAGTAAAATGGTCACGACCACACTTCAATAACGTGGGCTCAGGTGGGTCCTGGGCATCAATATTTTTTAAAATATCCCCAAATGATCTAATCTGTAGCCAGGATTGAGAATCACTTTTCCATAGAAGATCTCTAAGATCTAAGTTTTAGCATTCCAATACTGCTGGATTTCCCTGTTTCTGTGAAATTGCAGTAAGCTCCTTCTTCGCTCCTGGATTGTACTCTCTCCTCTCTGCCTTTCATCCTCCACATACCTCCACTGATAATTATGTTACTCCTCTGCTCCACAGCCCTTGGATGACTTCCTATTTGAGAATATGATGTAAACTTTGAAGGCTTTTGCACATGAAAGTGGGCATATATGAGAACTGTTGTATATCAGTTGGGAGGTTTGTGGACCCCAGATGAAAATTCCCTCTCCTACAGAATAGACTCCAACACGGCAGCTATGAACTGTGATACTCTGGCTCCAATCTCTCTTCACAGTCTCACCTCCTGCTTCAGTCTTTCATGCTCCCAATCAAGTACACACACCCCTCTCCAACCACACTGCTCTCCTTGTCATTTTTCTAACATAACTACACTTTCAAACTTCTGGATTCTTGGATCATGCTATTCCTATTGACTGGGATATTCTCTTCCCTCCTCCCTACTAGATAAACTGCTGCTCTGTTCCAGCCATCCTGGCCTTTTATTCATCGAACATGCTGAATTCATTCAGCTTCAGGCTCCTGAACATCCTGTCCTCTTTACTTCGGATGCTTTTGCCCTAGATCTTCAATGACTGGCTACTTTTCATCATTCAGGTCTCAGCTTAAGTATCACTTCCCCACAGAGACTTTCTTTTATCACCCTGTCACCCTATCCAGAGTATCTGTCTCCCATCCCTACCCCTACCAGTTTAATCCTTACCTTGTTTCATTTGCTTCTCAACGTTTACCATCCTCTGAGATGTCTGGCTTATTTGTTTATTTTTTTATTATCTCTATCCTTCCAATAGCCTATAAGCCCTTTATGAGCAGGGACTTTGTCTTGTTTGTACCACATCCTAGCACCTAGAACAGTGCCTGATACGGAGCTGAAGCTCAATACATATTTGTTGACTGAATGCATTAATCCCCCATACCCTGCCCAAACGCTGTCCCCTCTGTGAATCCCCGGTGACCTCCCTGACCCTTATCAAAATATCTCTGTCTCTTGGAAACAGGAACCATACCTTGTTTGCCTCTGTATTTTCAGTTCCTAACACAGTATACTACACTCAGCATATTTTTCCCCCTGATATTCAAGAATGCTCATTTTTTGAAGGAAGAATTTAGCATGTGCTCAAAATGGGTAACGTAATTAAAAGTTCAGGGCAGAGGTCAAGGATAATGTCTATTTGAATAGAGCTCTTTTCAAAGTAAAATGAAAAGTAGAAAATTCTGACTGAGTACATGTGTGGTCAAAAATGTTTTATCAGTAGCAGCCATGTTCTTGATTGGTAATTTATTTAATTTTCAAAAATGGAATAACTTTTTTTCATAGCTAACATTCCAACTGATGCTACCCACCACCACAAATAACTAGGGGTTTAAAATAGATGCCTATCATAATATATTTCATGGCTCTGCTATTTACTAGTCATGTTTCTTTCGGAAAGTCATTCAGTTTCTCTGAACTTTAGTTTCCTCCTATATAAATGAGAGTTTGATCAAATTGTTAAATGAAGTTCCATGGTTGACTCAGAACAAGATGCTTAACAAACATTAGTTTCCTCTCTATCAAATTCAACAGATAGAATAGCAAACCTGCACCCCTCCCCTTCCTCTTTTCCTTTTTTTTTTTTATGAGCACAGAGAAATCTGGTTTTAGTAGATCTTTGTCCTAAAGTGGTGACATGTGTGTATATTTGGTCTCCCCATCTACTCCTTCCTTCCTTCCTTCTGTCATCAAATATGTCTTGAGTGCATACTATGAGGCAGGCACAGTGCACATACCATGATGACCAAGACAGACAGGGTTTCTGCTTCCAAGGACCTCACAGTCCAGTGGGGAGCAGTATAATGAGAACCGTGACAAGGGAGGTATAGGGAGGTACAAGAACATATGCCCAGGGACCCAATCTAGTCATCAAGTCTGCCTAAGAAAGAGATATTCAATATGAGACCTGAAGGATAAGGAAGGGTTGGCTAAAGAAAGAGGGGGCAAAGAGTGAAGAAAAAACATCATGATCAAAGGCTTGGATATGAGAGAAAGCATATCAAAGAACTGAAGGAATTTCAACATGGCAGGAGGAATAAGAGAAAGACTGATCAGAGGAGATGGGTCATGTCAGCAGAGGCCAAAATCATGGAGGGTCTTTGAGGCCACGCAGTGGAGGCAGTCACCAAAGGATTCTAAGGAAGGAAGTCATCTGATTAGATTTGCATTTTTGTAAGACCATTCCACCCACAATATAAGGGGTTTGGAGGGGAGTAAGACTAGAAGCAGGAAAACCAGTTAGTAAGCTGTTGCCATACTTATTTGTTATTTCATTTTTCCCTTCCCTGACAGATACTTGGATTAACTCATGCATTCCAGAAATTACCACCATCAAAGATACCATATTCAACACTCAAAATGACACATACACAAGAGAAATGACTGTCAGTGACAGCACATACTCAGCATCATCTCCTGATGCACCTTTCTCTACTACACCTGCTCTTGCTCCCACTGCAGCTCTGGCTTCCACTTCTACTCCACGGAAAAGAAAATTAATTTGCATAACGGAAGCTTTTATGGAAACTAGCACCATATCTACAGAAACTGAATCATCCATTACAAATAAAGTAGCATTCAAGAATGAAGCTGTTGGGTTTGGAGGTAAAAGCTTTCTGTGTCTGCATTATGTGCATGTGTGTGTGTATTTGTGTGTAACAGACAATGCATAGAATCTAGGCTGTCACCAGATCGGGCACTCAGGACCTGCCAAATACAATAAAGGCTTATTGCAAACTCAACTTTCATAAAACCATAGAACTTGAGGACTCTAAAGAACCTTGGTTATTAAACTAAAAATTATGAATATAAAATGGCTTCACTTTTAAAACAAAGCCTTTAAAAAGTAATTTACTATCTATTAATATGTAGAAGTTCTTTTTAACATATATATCTTAAATGCCTACACTTTGTTTTGGAAAGTTTGTTTTCCTATTTAAAAGTAGGGGTCTTACACTTTTAGCTCCAAACTTATCATCTCAAGGCCACAGAGGGGAAATGAAGTCTGTCATATTGCAACTTATAGAATAGAGAGAGCACAAGAGGCAAGGCCAAGGATTCTACAGGCAAGAAGCAAAGAAGAAAATGAGGGCCCAACATCCCATCCTCTGTGTGCTTACAGAGAAGGCTATTCTCCTGCACTATCTGTTGCCTTGATCACGCTGTGAAATGAACTGTTAGAAAAGCAGTGCTCATGTGTACTGAAATGTACGTGAAGGACCAACTGGCCATGTCTCTGTTTCCTCCAGGTGTTCCCACGGCTCTGCTAATTCTTGCTCTCCTCTTCTTTGCTGCTGCAGCTGGTCTCGCAGTTTGCTATGTCAAAAGGTAGGGTTGTTGGCACATCATTAGTCCTGTAATCTTTGTCACATACGTAACTTTGTTTTTCCTGGGTTGTTATTAGCATTTTCTTGGTCAAAATGGAGACAGCAGTCCTCTTACGCTGCAAATTTTCTCCCTCATCTCACCTCTCCTCCCTACCACCCAATCTCTCCTATGATTTAAGAACACACATGTCATCCAGCCTTTAGATATAGGTCAATGGTTATCCCTTTGAAAATCAAAAAACAAAAAGAAAAGACTGACAAACAGGGAAAAGGTATATGCTTTATTTGATTTTCAATTCTTCGTTTTTGGTGGGAGGGTTGTGAGGTCAGCCCAAAGTTTGTTCTGTGAACTTACTGTCCCATCTAAATGAATCCATTAAGGTGGGGATGTGTTAATGTATTTGAGAGTGCACGTGTTAGCATCTCTCTGAAATAAAGGTACCCAGGTACACAGTGTACTGTGCCAACATGGGCCATCGCAGACAAAGCGTTATCTGTTGTTATATGTGTTACATAGAAGTCTCTCGCTTGAATTTTATGTTTATGCCTGCAGGTATGTGAAGACCTTCCCTTTTACAAACAAGAATCAGCAGAAGGAAATGATTGAAACTAAAGTAGTGAAAGAGGAGAAGGCCAATGAGAGCAACCCTAATGAGGAAGCAAAGAAAACTGAAAACAAGCCAGAAGAGCCCAAGAGTCCACCCAAAACTACAGTGCGATGCCTAGAAGCTGAAGTTTAGATGAGAAGGAAATGAGACGACACAACTGAGGCTGATTTCTTTCCTGATGCATATCCTAGGCCCAGATGGGGCAACTAAAACGGCCAAAGAACCAAACAAGAAAGTCCACCCTCGGTTCCTCACTGGAATCAGCTCAGGGCTACCTTTGGACCATGGAGCTCACCAAAGGAAATTCCTTTCTTCTTAGTGCAATTCTTTCTGGATCCTATTCTCCTACCTCCAAAGCTTCCCACAGCATTTCTTGCTGGTTACATCCTAATAATATTGCAGTGGGAGAAAGGAACTTTGCAAAGCACAGGGATCTAAAAGAGCCAATCAGAACACGTTTGTAAAGAGGCCTCCATGCTGACAGAATAGGTGAGTCGAGAGCCAAGAAACCGCCGAGGCCAAAGCTTTCTCTATTGACTCCACAGCCCAGATCCTTCCTTCAGCTCTGAAAAGGAAACCCTTATACCACCTGGCATGGCCTTCTGAGTAAAACAAGAGCGAAAGAAGGAAGAAAAAGTTTAGCAATCGAAGGTCATGGAGATTCCCGTGACTTGAGACCGGATCTCTGTAAAGCCAAAATAAATAGAAAAAAAGAATAAGGCTGAGGATATTGGCAGCTTATTGTCAGTAGGGACCATAAAGACAGACAGGGTCAAAGTATTCATCTCTGAATAACTTGAGTTGGAATCACTTTTTAGAACACACACATACTTTCTTCTCTCTCTTTCTTCTGCTGCTGCTATTTTCTCTAGAAGAATATACTTTTACAAGAAACCAAAAAAAAAAAAATCTCTTACAATTATCTATTTTTATCTGAGTTACAGAAATTATTACTGAGGAAAATTACTGTGTTAAAAAGCAATAAAATTTAACAAACATTCGCTGAATACCTTCTATATGTCAGGGACTGTGTGCGGTATTACATTCTGTAATTGAATATTATTCATCAAACAATTGCATATAATAGAATGTTGTATGAGGCTAATTTTTTTAGGTTTTGATATCTCCAGCTTATCCACTTTCAAAACTAATTTTATTTCTGCTGAGACTAATCTATTCATTATTTTCTCTAACATGACAACCATTATAACCTTAATTTATTATTAACATACCTAAAATGTACATTATTAGCTCTATACACCAAAGCACATTTTTAAAATGTCATTAACAAATGTATCACTAACTCTCCTTTTTCCATCAAGAAGAGCCTGAGAAGTGATAAATATTTGTTCCCCAAAAATAAAAGCATTCAGAAAACTTCTTTGCTCTCTTATTTACATGGATGTATTATACCTTTCATGCAAAATTAAAGTAATTCATTGTTTGCAAAAGAGAGACAACTTCGGTTGTTGAAATAGAATCATACGTAAACCCAATAGTACATATGGGGCTGTGCTTGCTTCAGATGGTCTTATTTTCAGTTGGTTAAGTATACACATATAAGGCAATCCTTTTCTTGGGATTCCGCTCCTACATTCTAACCCATTTCAGAGTTCACAGGGAGCTGGAGATTCAGGATAGCTCATTTGTCCTGTTTCTCTAGCTTTCTCTCTCCCTCTCTCTAGTCTTCCTCCACTTAACGTCTTCTTTCCGTCACCAGTGACCCCAGGCTCCATGATCCTTTCAGCTCACAGGCCATATCCTGCTGGCACAGTCTTTTTTGATTGGTCCACAGAGTCTTATCTTAGAATTTAGTTTAATTGCCAAGGATTAAAAATCAAGAGATTTCACATATTTATATTTTCGAGTTCCCTTGAAAAATGAAAATATCTGGAGATAGAGAACCCATATTTCCTCACAGCAATAATTATCTGATGCTGAGTAATGGCTGTCCCCTTTAAATGGGCTGTGCTCTCTCCTAACACTCTCTGTTGCACCCTCATGCCAAAGTAAAGGTGACATTCCCTACGGATCTTGTAACGATGTTACCTTTTTTCATACCTGCCCATTTCACTCATTTACAACTTGCCTGGCCCTGAGGTCCATGAGTTTGAAACTGGTAAGTCAGTCCTTCGGCTTTCCCCACTTTACCCAGTTCTCAGAGAGTAAAGAAGAAAAAGGAGGAAAGAGCCTAAGTAGTGGTCTTCCTTCTGTGTGTGTTAGCTGAAAAATAATCAGGTCTTCCACACTAGATCTCCCATCTTGTGGGCATCTACTATATATTAGGATGCTATCATCTTCTCTTCCTTTAGACAGGTATATGCCATACCCAGAGGAGGGAGGGAGAAGGAAAATACCCCACCTGGCCACATATAATCACTCAATAGCCCAAATGTCAACTGCAAACATACTGATGAAAATGTGTAACTTCAATCATCATGGAAGAACAGAAAGAGGGAAGGAAGAAAGGAGGGAAACTGACATTTGTTGAATACCTACTAAGCGACAGTCATTTTCATATGTTGTCCTATTTAATCGCCACATATTCCCTTAGAAGAATTATTACTGTCATTTTTTATTAATTAGAAAATTGGATTTTGAGAGGAGGTAAATCACTTTTCTGTGGTCACAGGTCTAGTTAAATCCCAGGTCAGAAGGACTGCAGAGTCCATACTCCTTTCCCTACACCACTGTGCTTCTCTGCATGTGACAACATAGGGACGTAAACTATTCCAATGCAAGCTTGAAATCAGTCACTTGCCAAAAACAACAGTAGTGAAATAAGAAAAACGACTCAGGACTCCCGTACCAACTTCAGGGAATCTTTCTTAAATCCATTAGCAATAAGAAGGAAAAAAGGGAACCACTAAAGACCTTGAGAGCTGCTCCCTCACGGATGCAGACACCAACCTCAGCAAAGACTTACCTGGTCCAGCTCATACAAGGCTCAGAAGGATCCAAGATAAGCTCCTCTAAACTCTTTTTTCATAGAGTTAAAAAAATAATAAAGCCCGATGTCACACATAGCTAGAAGTAGAGCCTGGTTTAGAAGTCTCCCTCTTCCTAGTCAAATTCTCTTTACGTTCCACTGAACAAGGAGAAATTGGAAGAATATGAGGGACCACCCCAGTTCAGACCTACAATCCAGCCTACCAAAGCCAGTCTTCAAAGGAGGCAGGTAGACAGCCATACAATTACGTTTCCAGGTGGTGCAAAGCATCTCCCTGCCCAGAAATGCCTCTTCTTCATGCCTGCCTCCCTGGCTCAAACATTATAGATCCATTCCTCTGGGCAAAGGTACTCTGTCTTGAGAAAGAGTCCCCTGTAAAACTGCATGCTTTTTATAAAGGCCAGGCCATCTATCAAATATTAACATGCCAGTGTGAGTCCAATAAAGACGATTTCTAAGGGTAGAAAGCTGGAGTAAAGCAGATGACTTGAGGCGCAGCACATGCTTGCACACAGTGAGAGTTTATGAATGTCCACTGGCTTGAACAAAATTAAACCATGTGGATTTCCAGACCAAAGGATCCTAAATTTTATTGTTTTTCTCTAGATCTTTAGCTAGTGCCCAAAGCAAAGTTAACTGCCCTAGGGAAGAACAGATTGCTAAGGACAATTACAATAATGTGCAAGTAAACAAATTCTTACAATGAATGGGTCACTCACACACAAAAAAGAAAAGGTTTAAGTCTTCAAACAGGAAGAAAAGCAATTATTCATCAATTCAATCTCCTAGTTAAACATAAAGTAAATTTTTTTTACCCTATAATAGTCTACATTTAAGATCAGGTTTGACCTAAGAGGATTTTAATAATACTAAAATCAGCTGGGTGGCTGGCCCCGTGGCTCAGTGGTTAAGTTCCCATATTCCGCTTCAGCGGCCCTGGGTTTCGCTGGTTCAGATTCTGGGTGTGGACCCAGCATGGCTTGAGCCATGCTGAGGCGGCGTTCCAAATGACAGAACTAGAAGAACCTACAACTAGAATATACAACTATGTACTTGGGGGGCTTTGGGGAGAAGAAGAAAAAGAAAAATGATTGGCAACAGATGTTAGCTCAGGGCCAATCTTTTAGAATAATCAATTAGTTAATTAAAATAAAATCATCTGGGAGCACTCTCCTCTATGTATATTCCCCAGGAAGTGCATGTTGGATCATTAACTCCATTTCCAGCCCCTCCCCCATCTCTAGAAAATCGGGTTGGGGCTGAAAGGTCCAAGCTTTTAATCATGGCTTGGTCTTTCTGGTGACCAGCACCCATCTAGGAGCCCAGCAAGAATCACCTCATTAGAACAAAAGGCGCAGCTATCACGCAGGAAATTCCAGGGGATTTAGGAACTCTGTGTCGGGAACCGAGGTCAAAAACTAAATATTAGAACAAAAGATGCTCCTCGTGCTCTTATCACTTAGGAAATTACAAGGGTTTAGGAGTTCTGTGCTGGAATTCAAGGGCAAAGACCAATATATATATATATATTTTCTATTATTCCACAGTGGTGTACATATTTTATTTTTTCTTTCATCCTTAGCATTTGTGTAGTATACGCAAAAACAGCAAACATATAGTTGGCCCTCAGTAAATATTGTTGAATGAATGAATGCATACATTCTTTGGGATTTGATGAGTTCCAAGTCAAATCTTTATTCAGCTATCTGTGCTGAGTGTTAAGATCATTCAATACAGGGCCAATTGTTCCTGTCCACCTAAATACTGTCCTTCCTGATGACTTTCTTTCAGTTTAGAATGCAGTTGTGAACAAGCCAGAAGAATGCGTACAGGCTATTGGATTTGAACTTTACTCTCTGAGTTGGCCATTGACTCACCTCTGTGAGCAATCTCATAATTAATATTTATTTTAACACGGAAACTGTGTTTTGGACTGCGATCAAGTCAAAGAAAGTTGAGCTCCCTCAGCAACCACAAAGCCACTAATTATTGGCAAAAAGTTGGTCCCTTGATCGCTAGATTTTTATTTTAGTCTTTGAAGTCTATGATGCTTTCTTGAGAATCTGGAATTCTGCATACTAAATACTGTCATTTTCTAGAAACTAGAACAGTTTGGGGACATTTTCAGACTTTTATTTTCTACTACACCAACTGTTGTTTTTATTTTGTTTGGGTTTTGTCTTGAGCTAAGTTGAAGACATTTTTCTAAAATCAAGAAAAGACAAAGTCACTTGAAAGTAAAATCTCTGTGAATACCAAAAGGTCTAATAGAATACTCCATTGTGTATAGTCTTTTATCTATGAAGATTACCATTTCAGCAAAAGTCAATATCATAAATAATAACACTAGTAACAAAGATTTAGATGTTACAAAACTGCATAAAACTACATATCATAACAAAATATCTTAAAATTATGTTGTATTTTCTCCATTAGTAGATTTTCAAAAAGAATATAACAGAAACTTCTATGTAGCAGAGTTATGGGGAGGAGATATCTAAATCTGAAGATCCAGCATGGAAAATATGTTTGGGTTGTAAATCTGGAGAGTGGGATGAGGTATACACCACCAGGAGACATCAGAGATGATGTAAACTTACCATAGGTATTGACGGGTGTCTGGGCAGAGGCAAGCTGCAAACCTGATCCCAATCTGGACTAAAACATGGCTTTGTCTGCAGGGAGTCTTGCCCTGTGTCTGCAATCCGAATGCAAGCAGATCAAAGTACTAAGATCCTCAGTCAAAATGGCGCAATAATAGTTCAGTGAGTAAGCTGAGTGGCCTGCATCTGAATGGAGGGAAAAAGTCATGTGGTGGCAACCAGAGCTGGGGGACACTTCAAACTTTACTGTAAGCAAGAGAATATTCCCATCCTTGCTCCCAACCTCTACATACCCCCTTTCTAATACCCCCTCATGGGAAGAGGAGTTGCTAACCTGATTGATAAAGCCAGGACCTCTACTCGGCCATGTTTTACTGGTGGGTGAAATTTATTCTGCCTTAAAGCCCAGTATCCATTCATGGCACTCAATTGTTTGCTTCCTGCCTCAGAACCTGGCAAGGCCTGGTCCCTAGAGGCACAGTAGCCATCCTCATCCATCACTTCCAATCTATATGCGTAGTTAGATAAGTGAAGTTGGGGCTCCTGTTACATCCTTCTCTTTCTGGAAACTACTTTTGCCTTTAGGCGTAAGCCCTTTGCAGGTTCCAGGGAGAGTCCTGCACTGAGGGTTACTGGCTGATATCAATAAAGTATAGGTGGGGACAGAGCTAATTATCCTTGTCACACTATCTATATACTTCCTTTTTCCTCCTTTCTCAGAGTGACAGCTTGGGAAGCACCAATGTAACGTGCATTTTTCTGGATCTAAGGCAGGATCTTCCTTCTTGAAAAAAAGCAACCCCCCCCCCCCCAGGTTTACCCAGAAGCAGGTGACTCAAATGTTCTCACAAGCAAGTGTGATCGCCTACAATACAGCATTAAGTTTTTTCCCACTGCTTTTGGTCTAATTCCACTCCCATGAATACTAGCATATCTTCCACTAGGCATGCTGCCCACTTCTGCTTGTTTCTTTTCCCACCAAGTGCCATGACTATTTCCTTTAGATATCACCATATCTACCAGGTACCACTGCCCTTACAAAGTACTGTTTATATATCCTCTGGGACCTGCCACACCCACAAGGCACCACTGACTTTTCCAGTCTCTGCTGCTGCTTCCCTGGTAGTATCCTAGTTCTACTCATCAAGTAATGATGCTACTTCTCTAGATGCTTTGTCTCCTAGAGACTGCTGCCTTTTCCTCCAACAAACACAAAATTGTGCAGGCACTGCCATCTCCGCCAGGTGTTATTGCAGTTGCTGTTGTCTGACACGAGGATGCACTGGAATCCTTGAAGTACCAAAGCTAAGGAATATGTCAAGATAGGCTTGCTGGATTTAGCAAAACAAACACCAGGATACCAAGGATACCACTTAAATTTGAATTTCAGGTAAACAACAGGTAATATTTTAGATTAAGTATGTCCCATATATTGTATGAAGTAGTATTTGGGGCACACTTATACTCAAAAGTTATTTGTTGTTTACTTGAATTTCAAACTTAACTGGGCATCCTGTATTTTACCTAGCAACCCTAGTGTGGGACCAGTGGAGAATTAGAGCTTCTGTCTCCATTTGTGAAAAACTCCATTAGAAATGAGCCAAAGCAGTACTTACCATAACCTAATATACTGTCTTTTTAGTGCAGACAGCTTTTGTAGTTTTTATTAAAAACCCTCTACGAATCCGTGACTTAGACGTGATTCTATGGGAATTGGTTCATGGACAAAATCAGTCAAAATCACCTCACTCCAGTCCATTCCACATCCAACGATAAGGCTTTATTACACAGTCATTCACAATAGCCTGACTTCTTTTTCCCTTCAGATGAGTTCTCACCTTAGGGGAAAAAAAGAGCAATAGAAGGGGAGCTTATTCCTACTAGATATTAAATCATATTATAAAGCCTCTGTAATAAAAACAATGTAGCACTAGTACATGAAAAGATAGACCAATGTAACAGAATAGACATCTCACAAATAGACCTAAATGCATGTGATGATTTAATATATGTTAAATGGGGACAAATCAGATGGGAGGGGGAAAGATGGATTAAATGATATTGGAACAACTGGAGAACCATTTAGTAAAAATCAGATCCACCTTTCATATCGTATGCCAGGATAGATTCCGGGTGGGTTGAATATTTAAATGTAATAAATGAAACCTTATAACTACTAAAAGAAACCATGAATTCCCTTATAACCTGGAGGTGAGGAATACCTTCCCAACTATGATGCAAAATCCAGAAGCAATAAAGACATGAGTGGTACCTTTATAAAGACTAGACTACATACATACTTTGATGAATCTGACTACATAAAAATAAAAAAAGTTTGCATGGCCAAAAATTCCCATTAAGCAAAGACAAATGATAAACCTGGAAATGGTACCTGAAATTTCAAACATAAACAAAGAGCTGATATATTTAATATACGAAGAGCTCTTAAACATTAAAAAAAAAGACTATTAACCCAATGAGAAAAATATACAAAAGAGAAGAATAGACAATTTACAACAAAAATAAAAATGAATCTTAAATATAAGAAAAGATGCTCAATATTACAAGAGCATCTTGTAACAAGAAAAATGAAAATTAAAACTAACCTCTGGTATACCACTTCCATCAGATTGGCCCACATCCAAGAATATGACAACATATTCTTTTAATCCAGGTGCAGAGTAATGAGAACTTTCATACATTACTGCTGATGATTGCTCCCATTGAGAAGAATTTAGTAATATCTGGCAAAACAGAAAAATGTGAAATTACTTATACAAAAAAATCATTCACTGTTAAATTCTATGGGTAATAACAACCCAAAAGTCCATCAGTAGGGGTCTGTTCGAGTAAAACTATGGTAAATCCACATGTTGGAATTCTATGTAGTGTCAAAAAGAATGAGGTAAATCTCTAATTACTCTAATTACTGATATGGGAATGATCTTCAGGATATATTAATAAGTGAAAAAAGAGGAAGTTACAGAACACTACATTTTGTGTAAAAATTGGGTGGGAAACACAAATATATTTTTATTTATGTATGTGTGTATGTATTTGCTTATATTTAAAAAATACTGGAAAGAAAGATCAAAACATTTAAATATAGGGGTAAGGAGGTGGCAAGGTAGAGAACCGTGAAGGGGTGTGACACTTCTCAAATATGTCTTTTTATATAGTTCTGACTTTGGAAGCAGAAAACTTCTACTTTTCCAAAGTAAAATTAAATTTAAGAAGCAATCCTTAAAAATTGTAAAAACCCTGAGAAACCACTAAAAAAAAGGAGAATTATTTCAAGGGACTAGAACACAGTATTTTGACTCTACATTTTTAGTGATATATATTCTAAGAACAAAGAGAGCAGTAAGAATGTGTAAACCTCATCCAGTAACCTAAGAGCAGCAATATTGGTATTATTATTTTGAATCTGTTTTCTGTATTTTATAAAGTAATGTAATAATACTTAATGTTATTAGGGATTAAGATTTTCAATGTAAGATAAAAGAGATACAAGTATAAAATCAAAGTTAGAGGGGCCGGCCCAGTGGTGTAGTGGTTAAGCTCTGCAGCCCAGGGTTTGTCAGTTCAGGTCCTAGGTGTGGACCCACACACCACTCATAAAGCCATGCTGTGGAGGCGTCCCACATAGAAGAACTAGAAGGACTTACAACTAGGATAGACAACTATGTACTGGGGCTTTGGGGAGTGTAAAACAAAATGAGGAAGACTGGCAACACATTAGCTCAGGGCCAATGTTCCTCACCAAAAAAAGCATACTTTTTTAAAAAAAATCAAAGATTTAAAAATCTTACAATACTGAATTTAAATCAGGAACATCAGTAAAAACTCTAGATTATTTTCTTTTCAAACATAAACATTCCCTAGCTCTGTCCACCAGAAAGGATTAGAAGTAATGACAATCCAATAGCTACGAATACATCTAGCAACCAGATTGTGGTCTCTAAATGCCATTTCCCAGTGAAAGGATTCAGAACTCCTTGGAGGAACAGCTAGTTCAAGGTCTGGAGCAGGAAATATATAAGATAAGCCAGGGACCAGAATGCAAGGAAGCTGTCAAAGTCTTGTCAAAAAGACAATATGATGTGGTTACCATTGGCCAAAGATGAGACTATAAAAGCATCAAAAGTAATAATAAATGAGGGCCAGCCCAGTGGTGCAGTGGTTAAGTTTGCACATTCTGCTTTGGTGGCCCAAGGTTTGCCAATTTGGATCCTGGGTGCAGATCTACACACTGCTTGTCAAGCTGTGCTGTGGCAGGCGTCCCACATATAAACTAAAGGAAGATGGGCACAGATGTTAGCTCAGGGCCAGGCTTCCTCAGCAAAAGGAGGATTGGCAGCAGATGTTAGTTCAGGGCTAATCTTTCTCAAAAAAAAAAAAAAGGAAGAAAAGTAATAATAAATGCAATTGATTACGTATATAAAACCCATGAACTTATATTTATATATATTTTTATATTGATAAAAAAAGTTAAAATTCCACACATTGGACACAGTTGCAAGTAACTAGGTACCAACACCTTAAAAGGAAAGAATTTGGCCTTCTCCTGCCTTTACTGTACTGACAGTATTTTGGGGTAACAAAATAGCCCTGGTTCATAAGGAAAAGTTTTGTCTGTTTTGTGTGTGAGAGGAAGATTTGCCCTGAGCTAACATCTGTTGTTCTCTTTTTTACTTGAGGAAGATTATTGCTGAGCTAACATCTGTGCCAATCTTCCTCTATTTTATGTGGGACACTGCCACAGCATGGCTGGATGAGTAGTGCTAGGTCTGTACTCGGGATCCGAACCTGTGAAGCCTGGGCCACCGAAGCAGAGTGCATGAATTTAACCACTACACCACTGCGCTGGCCCCAAGGAAGAGTTTTTTACAGAAGTGATGCTAATAAATAGTTAGAAAAATCACCATTTTGTAATCCCTAATAAAATGGATTCATACTATCATAGTAATGGATAAAATCCTTAGATAAAATATTGATGGGAACCCCAATGCTCAGTCTTAAAGTGGGACAAGCAGATGTTGTGGGGCTCCTGATATGATGCAACACGAATCACACAGTACCACCTATGAAGCCTTCTTGCCAGAACAGTCGAGCCCGAATCTAATCAAGCCTCTAAAGCCAAACTGCATTTATGGGAAACGTGGGGAGAAAAGGAACAAGGTGAATGATATCACAAGGAAGAAAACCGATAAATCCAGAATGTAGAGGTAGAGTATACAAGAAGTGACCCTGTGTGATAGTCTTTATGTGTCAATGTGACTAGACTTTAGTCCCTAGTTATTCAAACACTAATCTAAGTGATGTGAAAGTATGTTGTAAATGTAATTGAAGTCCATAATCAATTGATTTTAAGTAAGAGAAATTATCCTAGATAATCTGGGTGGGTCTGATTCAATCAGCTGAAAGAATTTAGAAGCAGAATTGAGGTTTCCCAGAGGAAGAAATTCCACCTGTGCATAGTAGTTTCAGCTCATGTCCAAGAGTTCCAGCCTGCCCCTCCTGAGAGCTTGCCCTGTGGATTTCCAACTTGCCTTCCAGCCCCCACAACTGAGTGAGCCAATTCCTTGCAATAAATCTTAGTATATATTTCCTACTTGTTCTGTTTCTCTGGTTGCACCCTGACCAATACACAGTCTTTGCCACAAATTAACAGAATGAAAAAAGGAGGGGAGGAGGACTGCTCTAAATTAAAATATAACAATCAAATGCAATGAGAGGATCTTGTTTGGATCCTGTAAGAAACCTGTAAGAGAGTGGTAAGATATATTTAAAGTGCTGAAAGGAAAAATCTACAGCCAAGAATACTCTACCAGGCAAGATTATCATTCAGAACGGAAGGAAAGATTAAGAGTTTCCCAGACAAGCAAAAACTAAAGGAGTTTATCACCAAGAAACCAGCCTTACAAGAAATCCAAAAGGGACTTATTTAAATGGGAAAGAGAAGACCACAAATAGGAATGAAAAAATTATTAGAAAAGAAAGCAATAAAATCACTGGTAAAAGCAAATATACAGTAAAGGTAGCAGATCAACCATATGGAGCTAATATGAAGGTCAAAAGACAAAAGTACTAAAATTATCTATTTCCATGATAAGAGGGTAATGGATACACACACACACACAAAAGGTTAGATATGATATCAAAAACACAAAATATGGGAAGAGGGAAGTAAAATGGTAGAGCTTTTAGAAAGAGGTCAAAATAACGAGACTATCAACTATCTACGTAGGTTATTATATATGAACCTCATGGGGATCACAAACCAGAAACATACAATAAATACACAAAAAATTAAGAGAAAGGAACCCAAATATAATACTAAAGAAATCCATCCAACCACAAGGGAAGAGAGCAAGAGAAAAATAAAGGAACAGAGAAGAACTACTAAAACACCCAGAAAAAAGGTAACACAATGTCAATAAGTACATTCTTCTCAACAGCTACTTTAAATGTCAGTGGACTAAATACTCCAATCAAAAGGCATAGCGTGGCCGATTGGATAAAAAAAACAAGACCCATATATATGCTGCATACAAGAGACACACTTCAGACCTAAAGACACTCATAAACTGAAAGTGAAGGAACGGAAAAAGATACTCCATGCAAATGGCAATGGTAAGAAAGTTGAGCTAAGAATACTTATATCAGACAAAATAGACATTAAAATAAAAACTGAAATAAGAGACAAAGAAGGGCACTACATAATGATAAGGGGAACAATCCAACAATAGGATATAACACTGGAAAATATCTATGCACTCAACATAGAAGCACCTAAATATGTAAAGCAACTATTAACAGACATAAAAGGAGAAATAAACAGTAACACAGTAATAGCAGGGGACTTTACCACTCCACTTACACCAAAAGATAGATCATCCAAACAGATGATCAATAAGGAAACATTGGCCTTAAATGACACATTAGACCAGATGGACTTAGTAGATATATACAGAACATTCCATCCCCAAACCACAGAGTATACATCCTTTTCAAATGCACATGGAACATTCTCCAGGATAGATCACATCTGGCCACAACACAAGTCTCAATAAATTTAAAAAGACTGAAATAATACCAAGCATCTTTTCTGACCACAAAGGTATGAAACTAAAAATCAACTACAGGAAGAAAACCAGAAAAGCCACAAATATGTGGAGATTAAACAAATGGTACTGAATGATGACTGGGTCAATGAAGAAATCAAAGGAGAAATCAAAAAATACCTGGAGACAAATGAAAATATGACATGCCAAAATTTATGGAACATAGCAAAAGCAGTTCTAAGAGAGAATTTTATAGCAATACAGGCTTACCTCAACAAACAAGAAAAATCTCAAATACACAATCTAACAGTGCACCTAAAAGAACTGGAAAAAGAAGAACACACAAAGCCCAAAATCAGTAGAAGGAAGGAAAGAATAAAAATCAGAGCAGAAATAAATGAAATAGAACTTAAAAAAAATAGAAAAAGTCAATAAAACCAAGAGCTGGTTCTTTGAAAAGATAAACAAAATTTACAAACCTTTAGCTAGACTCATCAAGAAAAAAAGAGAGAAGTTTCAAATAAATAAAATCAGAAAGGAAAGAGGAGAAATTACAATGGACATCTCGGAAATACAAAAGACTATAAGAGAATACTACGAAAAGCTGTACACCACCAAATTGGATAATCTAGAAGAAATAGATAAATTCTTAGAATCATACAACCTTCCAAAACTGAATCAAGAAGAAATACAGACTTTGAATAGATCGATTACTGGTAAGGAGATCAAAACAGTAATCAAAACCTCCCCAAAAAATAAAAGCCTGGGACCAGACGGCTTCCTTGGTGAATTCTACCAAAGATTCAAAGAAGACCTAATACCTATCCTTCTTAAATTCTTTCAAAAAATTGAAGAGGAGGGGAAGCCTCCTAACTCATTCTACAAAGCCAACATTACCCTGATACCAAAACCAGACAAGGATAACACACAAAAAGAAAATAACACGTCAATATCACTGATGAACATTGATGCAAAAATCCACCACAAAATACTAGCAAAGCAAATACAACAATACATTAAAAAGATCATACACCATGATCAAGTGGGATTTATTCCAGGGATGCAGGGATGGTTCAACATCCACAAATCAATCAACGTGATACCCACATTAACAAAATGAAGAATAAAAATCACATGATCATCTCAACAGATGTAGAGAAAGCATTTGACAAGAGAAAGCATTTGGCAAGACACAGCATCCATTTATGATAAAAACTCTGAATAAAATGGGTACTGAAAGAAAGTACCTCAACATAAGAAAGGCCATATATAACAAACCCAGAGCTAACATCATTCTCAGTGGAGAAAAACCGAAAGCTACCCCTCTAAGAACAGGAACCAGACAAGGATGTCCACTTTCATCATTCTTATTTAACACAGTATTGGAAGCCCTAGCTACAGCAATCAGGAAGGAAAAAGAAATAAAATTGGAAAAGAAGAAGTGAAACTGTCACTATTTGCAGAAGACATGATTTTATATAGAGAAAACCCTAAAGAATCCACCAAAAAACTTTTAGAAATAATAAATGGACACAGTAAAGTTGCAGGATACAAAATCAATATACAAAAATCAGTTGCATTTCTTTTTTTTTTTCCCTCCCCAAACCCCCCGATACATAGTTGTATATTTTAGCTGTGGGTCCTTCTAGTTGTGGCATGTGGGACACCGCCTCAGCATGGCCCAACGAGCAGTGCCATGTCCGCGCCCAGGATCCAAACCCTGGCCCTCTGGAAGCGGAGTGCGCGAACCCAACCACTTGGCCATGGGGCCGGACCCCAGTTGCATTTCTATACACTAACAACGAAGTAGCAGAAAGAGAAATTAAGAACACAACTCCATCTATCATCATAACAAAAAAATAAAATGCCTAGGAATAAACTTAACCAAAGAGATGAAAGACCTGTACACTGAAAACTATAAAGCATTGTTGAAAGAAATTGAAGAAAACGCAAAGAAATGGAAAGATATTTTATGCTGTTGGATTGGAAGAATTAACACAGTCAAAATGTCCATACTTTCTAAAGCAATCTATAGATTCAGTGCAATCCCTATCAAAGTCCTAACAACATTTTTCACAGAAATAGAACAAAGAATCCTAAAATTTATATGGAACAACAAAAAATCCCAAATAGCCAAAGGAATCCTGGGAAAAAGGAACAAAGCTGGAGGTATCACACACCCTGATTTCAAAATATACTACAAAGCTATAGTAATCAAAACAGCATGGTACTGGCACAAAAACAGACACACAGATCAATGCAACAGAATCGAGAGCCCAGAAATAAACCCACACATCTACGGACAGCTAATTGTCAACAAGGGAGCCAAGAACACACAATGGAGAAAGCAGAGTCTCTTCAATAAATGGTGCTAGGAAAACTGGACAGCCACATGCAAAAGAATGAAAGTAGACCATTATCCTACACCACACACAAAAATCAACTCAAAATGGATTAAAGACTTGAAAGTAAGTCCTGAAACTATGAAACTTCTAGAAGAAAACATAGGCAGTACAGTCTTTTTTTTTTTGAGGAAGATTAGCTCTGAGCTAACTACTGCCAATCCTCCTCTTTTTGCTGAGGAAGACTGGCCCTGAGCTAACATCCATGACCATCTTCCTCTACTTTATACGTGGGACACCTACCACAGCATGGCTTTTGCCAAGCGGTGCCATGTCTGCACCTGGGATCCAAACCGGCGAACCCCGGGCTGCTGAGAAGCGGAACATGCGCACTTAACTGCTGAGCCATGGGGCCGGCCCCTGCAGTACACTCTTTGACGTTTGTCTTAGCAGCATATTTTCAAGTGCCATGCCTGATCGGGCAAAGGAAACAATAGAAAAAAAATAAACAAATGGGACTACATCAAACTAAAAACCTTCTGCACAGCAAAGAAACCATCAACAAAACAAAAAGACAACCTAACAATTGGGAGAAGATATTTGCAAACCATATATCTAATAACGGGTTAATCTCTAAAATATATAAAGAATGCACACATCTCAAAAACAAAAAAACTAACAACTAACTTAAAAAATGAGCAAAAGATCTGAACAGACATTTCTCCAAAAAAGATATACAGATGGCCAACAGGCACATGAAAGGATGTTCAGCGTCATTAGCTATCAGGGAAACGCAAATCGAAACTACAGTGAGATATTACCTCACTCCCATCAGAATGGCTAAAATTAACAAGACAAGAAACAAGTGTGGGAGAGGATGTGGAGAGAAGGGAACTCTCGTACATTGCTGGTGGGAGTGCAAACTGGTGCAGCCACTATGGAAAGCAGTATGGAGATTCCTCAAAAAATTAAGAATAGAACTATCATATGATCCAGCTATTTCACTGCTGGGTATTTATCCAAAGAACATGAAAACATGAGTGTGTAAAGATACATCGACTCCTATGTTCATTGCAGCATTATTCACAAGAGCCAAGACTTGGAAGCAACCTAGGTGCCCATCAAGGGATGAATGGACAAAGAAGATGTGGCATATATACACAATGGAATACTACTTGGCCTTAAAAAATGATGAAATCTGGCCATTTGGGACAACATGGATGGACCTTGAGGGTATTATGCTAAGTGAAATAAGTCAGCGAGAGAAAGTCAAATACTGTGTGATCTCACTCATAAATAGAAGATAAAAACAACAGTAATCATATAGAGATAGAGATTGGATTGGTGGTTACCAAAGGGGAAGGGGGGAGGGAGGAGGGCGAAAGGGGGGATTAGGCGCATGTTGTGGTGATGGATTGTAATCAGTCTTTGGGTGGTGAACATGATGTAACCCACACAGAAATTGAAATATAATGACGTACACCTGAAATTTATATAACGTTATAAACCAATGTTACCACAATATAAAAAAAATTTAAACCAAAGAAATAAAAGCAGATAGCTGAGTACAGAGCTTGAGAAGCAGCAGCCAGAAAGGAGGGATCAATAAGATATAAAACCTCACAGCAGAGCATCCTGGAAGATGATGAAGTTTTAACCCTACTTGTAGCTGACATGTTGTTCCTCCATATTCTACACTGATATAATTAAAAGCAGTAATGTATTGTGACATAAAGCTCTAGACTAGTGGCCAGGAAATCTGGATTCTCACCCAGTTTAGCGAACTTGCTCTGCAGTACTTAGGTGAATCACTTCCCATCTCTGCGTCTCACTTAATTTCCTCATCTATAAAAGAAGAATGTTGGACCAGATGATTTATTAGAATGTTCTTTGAACTTTATGATTTTATGAATTACATGCAGGAAGTTAAAAATATTTACAATTCATAGGCACTAAAAGCCTTCCTCATATATTCCCACAGTCCTGTCACAGATGTTTAGTGACCTTATGAAAAGCAGGAGGCATTGGACATACTTTCCTAGAAAAACACCATTTCAAAAGTCTCGCAGATTTTCCTGATCTTCACTACAGGACTGTGTTTACCACAATTTTTTTGAAATCTCTAGTGTTTTAACTGGAAAATGCCAAGATAAACTAGGAAAATCTGAAAACACATTACAAATTGCAAGATTCATTACAAAAGGATCCTTCTTCTTATAAAAGGATTAACTTAGAGGTTTCTTCTTCCATGATTCTTACCATTTATATTTATGGTTTCCTACATTTTTTTCTACACTTTTTTTATATGTAAGAAAAATAAGGGTTCCCTTATCCTGTTACCAAATAACTTCATAACTCCTATTCCAGAGAGAATTTCTAATCTCTTCTATTATGCTTTTTAAAATAATCCTTATTACTGTCTTATTCTGTTTTACATTCTAATTAATTCATTATGCTTGTGCAGAGTTAAAAAAAAGCCATAGTGATGAGAAGGAACTATCTAGAGATGTCAATAATAATACTAATTTTAAAATATTTTAGTCTCGTAGTCTGCCCTATAGTCCAATCTTCACTATACTCTCCATGAGATGTAAGAAGGAGGGCTGGACGCCTTTTATAAAGTTGAAGGCAATTTGCAGAGCAATTTTTCTGATTTCCAGGCTCAGATTAGGCTTAAATATTAAGAATAGGTATGTCTTTTTCCCCAACTTCATTGAGGCATTATTGGTATACAATAAGCCACAGATGATAAAACTGTACAATTTGAGAAGTTTTGACATAAACGTACACCTATGAAACCATCACTATAATAAAGAAAATGAACATATCCATTACCCCAAATGTTCCCTCCTGCTCCTTTGTGATACCACCTTCCCACCCGTCTCCACCCACCCTGCTTCATGCCCCCACATCCCCAAGGAACCACTGATCTGCTTTTTGTCATTATAGTTTGGATTTTCTAGAATCTTATATCAATGGAATTACACAATAGCTGTTCTTTTTTGGTCTGGCTTCTTTCACTCAGAACAATTATTTTGAGATGCATTCATGTTGTTTAGTGTATCAGTCATTCATTCCTTCTTATTGCTGAGTAGTATTCTGTTGTGCAGATATACCACAGTTTGTTCTCCAGTCACATGTTGATGGACATTTGGGTTGTTTCCAGTTTGAGCCCATTACAAATAATAGTCCTATGAATATTCATGTACAAGTCTTTGGGGGTAAACACCTAGGAGTGGAATGGCTGCATCAAAGGATAGGTGTATGTTTAGCTTTTTAAGAAATGGCCAAACCTACTCACAAAATAAGTGTATTATTTTACATTTCCTACATACAATATATGAGAATTCCAGTTGTTTCACATCCTTGCCAACACTTCATATGATCAGTCTTTCTAATTTTAGCCATTCTAGTGAATAGCCTGTGCCATGATATCTCATTGTACTTCTAATTTGCATTTTCTTAATGACTAATGATGTTGAGCATCTTTTCATGTGATTATTTTGTCATCCATACATCTTCTTCAGTGATGTGTCTGTTTAATTTTCTGCCTTTTTAAAATTAGGTTCTTTGTCTCCTTGCTGAGTTGTAAGAGCTCTTTATATATTCGAGCTAGAAGTCCTTTGTCAAATATGTTTTGCAAATATTTTCTTTCAGTCGATAGCTTGCATTTTCATTTTCTTAAGAGTGTTTCAAAAACAGAAGTTTTAATTTTGATGAAGCAAAATCTATCAATTTTTCTTCCTTTTATAGTTTGTGCACTTTTGTGCCATGTTTAAGAAATCTGCCAAATTCAAGATCACCAAGATTTTTCTCCTATGTTCTCTTCTGTAAGTTTTATAATTTTAGCTCTTAAATTTAGATTTATGATCCATTTTTAGTTAATTTTTGTGTATGTTATGAGGAAAGGATCAAGATTATTTTCATTTTTTTTGGCATACACTATCCAATTGTTCCAGCATTGTTTGCTGAAAAGACTGTCCTTTACTATTGAATTTCCTTGGTGTATTTGTTGAAAATCAATTGACTATATACGTGTAGGTCTATCTCTGGACTCTCTGTTCTGTTCCATTGCTCTATTTGTTTATCTTTACAGTGATACTGTCACCGACTAACTGCCCCAAGTAACTCAAAGGAGGTTTCGAAAGCACTTAACTGTTTCTCAAAGCTGTTTTTCAGTTATGTTAAGAGATGCAATCACCAACCACCCAGAACCAATCTAAACTCCGCAGCAATAGTGGTGCCTGAGCAGACAACCCGAGAAGTGTCCAAAAGTTACCTTTGCTTCATTTTAATGTTAAGATCTCCACCTCAGGAGGAGCTTAAGCCTTACTACCATAACATGCAATGTATGTGAGAGCACGTTTTCAAACTACGCCTGTATGAGCTTATACCCACCTCTACATGTGAATATTCACTCCCCATCCAAAATAAAAGGTACCTATTTTCCCTTGCTTGGGCAGCCACGGCTTTGGAAGTGATTCCCTGTGGTCTCCTTATTTGCTGTACATCAATTGTACTTTGTGTGACAACTACTTCTGGTAAAAGATTTGATTTCAACTCACCAAGGAGTGACTCACTTTGGTTCGGTAACAAAATTTGGCATCCCAGATGGGACGTCTGTCCCTCTGAGGTTCCAGTCCTCCAGCCACCCAGTTTCCAATGGATGGAGCAGTGGGCTGTGGCAGCATACCCAGGCTAACCGCTTCAGGCTACCGGGGGTCAGGAATTGGACCTCACAAGGAGGATTTCCTTCTTGGTGCTTGTGCTTCCAGTTTGACGTCGCTGCCCCATTAGGAGACCTAGTGGCCACACTGAGCATTTTGCTTGGAGGATCTCTCAATGGAAATAAGTGTATGGACCCCATGGCACAGCAATAAGAGTTATTTCTTTAAGTTGTCTCACAAAGTCTGTTTTAGGTTGGCTTATAGAATTCAGGAGTTATACAACCTGGCCATTGGGTCTGGTGAAACAGGAGTGATCTGACCCTTGACTAGTGGTTCCTGAAGGCTCAAGTCCTGGAGGGACAAGGCGTGGGTTCAAGTCCCCTCTGGAGTCACTGAGTCTGTCTTTTGTGTGTTTAAGTCCCTTCTGAATCCTTTGAATCTGCCTTCTCAGTTGGGGACACCTGACATTGATCTTGTTTTTCTTCAATCCCTCTGACATTCCGGCTTTCTGGACTCCCAGGTCCCCCTCTTTTCCTTTCCGTCTTTATTGGCAGTCCCTGAGTGAAACCCAGCATCAACCAGTTTTATTTTCCCTTTCACTCCATGCTAAAGTATTTCCACTGCTCTCCCTTTCGCTTCCACAATACCTCCTCAGGTCTCAGTGGGGTACTTTTGTCTCCTTAGTTATCTACTTGCAGGATTTGGCCAACAAAAGGAAGAATCTCTTCCTGCACCTTTTGCCCAGTTGACAGAAAGATCTTGCAACTGAGCTCACTCTTTTCTTTAAGCAAGAAATTCAGGCTGAAATCTCATACCCTAGTAAGGCCTCTTCAGACCCTCTGCCCAGTCCACTTCTTTGGGAGTGCCTGGTGGGAGTGGGAATTCAAGAGTCGTCCTTTATAGATGGCTCTCAACCCCTGGTTCTTGACCTTCCAAATCTGCTTGGATGCCCAAACATCAGCCCTTACTTGCTTGGGTCTGATTTCAGGCTACTAGGGTGCTAAAACACCTCTGGGTAAAATCTTGTGGCATCTATGTCAGCACTAACCATTATATGTTGCCCCTGGGAGGTTGGAAATAGACGATAAGAAAAGACCCTAGAATATGGGGGTAGGGGGCAAGCTCCATCCCATAAGAGAACCCATCGGGCTGCATTCTTCAGAATTGGAAGGCCTTCAGGCATTCCCCATTGACCTGAAAGTGGATGATCTTTTTATATAACACAGCCTGGCCACAATATTCATTGGAGGTTGGGGGAAGATGGCCAGTAAATGGGACCCTAAATTTTAACACCATGTTACAATCTATTTTGCAAAAGAACCAAGAAATGGGAAAAGATCCCCTGTGTCCAATGAGGAAGGGTTACAAAGAAAATGTAAAATTTGCAAATTAAAGGTTGAACCTAAGACTTCGAAAATACTTCCCATATTGTAAGATATTTCCAACAAGGAGGACCTGCTCCTCCAAGTCAGGAAACGTGGGGCTAAGAAAAGCCTACCTCAGGGTCCACCCTGCTCACATCTTCAGCTTCCTCCCCACCATCAGGCCAGTTGGTGACCCCCAAGAGACCCACCCAGTCGTCACTCCACACAAACTGGAGGCCATAACCCCAAAGTCCCTAACCACAGTGGATTCAGGGCCAAACACTTTACTGTCCACACTGAGCAATTCCCTTACAGGGAATTTGACTCTCCAACAATCAAAGACCCTTTACCCTCCTCTTCCAGATAGTACAACTACATTAGGAACCAGTTACAAACCTGGGATTTATCCCGTGAGACAGGTGCCTGATGATGAAGGGAGACTTATTAATGTACATGTCCCCTCTCCACCTCTGATTTATACAGTTGGAAGGCACTCACTAAAGGATTGAGGGCTGACCCAGAGGAATTCATAAACCAAGCCAAGGGAATCTTCTCCACACATATTCCAACCTGGGCAGATATTCACACAGCCTTCTCACAGACGTGGAAAAGTCAACTGTTCTGTTAAAAGCTGGGGAACACGCAGATAATGAATATGTCCCCGGGTCAGAAATTCACAGGCCGGTGAACTGGGTGTGCCAGGGAATGACCCTGGGTGCACCCTGATGATCAAGAAAAGCTAGGACATTTTCGGGGTCTGCTTTTGAAAGCCATGCAAATGGTAAGCCAGCTACCCATTAACCAGTATAAATTA